ATCAGGAAGCACATCACAACAATCATTAGAGATCTTCTCGGGGATATTTATATGGCCCTTTTGTCAGTCTGAGTTATGTACCGTGCTCATCTGAAACTGTAGGACTGTGGCTGAGAAGTCCCCTATTATTAATCGGAATTGCCTGAATAACGCTCTAGGCACCAGAATTGCCTACCAGTCAGATAATTTGCATCATTTTTATTGTGGCTTTGTGTGTTTTTAGACTCGCACAAAGTGCGAATGCAAGATATAACACATTTTTCTCACCAGCCTGCTCAGCTAGGGCTACCTAAAATACACAGATTCATCTTGAATGGAGACAGTGAGGCCCAGCCCGTAGAAGGGATCAGTGTTATCGGTGTCAGCAGGCAGTTCGGGCGGCATTTCTCGCTGAATTCCTCTCTTCAGCACTGGGATGTTTTGTCTGTCCCTTTGTCAGCTCCTCAGAGATACTGCAGCGTTTTATTTGCTGATGGCCTTGATACACAAAAATGTATTAAAGCGATCCCCAATGTAAATGTCTGCACTTGCAGCTATCTCCTCCTCCATTTCTGATTGCATTTGCAGGAGGGAATAATGAATGTAACAACGAAATGGGCATGAACACCCAATTACTAACGATATGAAGGAGAGATTGGGTTTGCTGTAAATGCTGGTTCTTATGCCTATATGAGTGTCCAAATGCTATTGATTTGACTAAATTCTCTTCTTCCTCCTTTTCCCAAGGAGAGCAGAAGCAGCTAACGAGACCCAAACCACTTTCCACGGTGCTAACTTCACCATGCAGTCCTGAAACTGCACCCCTGCTTAAGCACTTCTCTATCAGGCATTACACAGCCTCTTTCCTCATTTTTAAAAAGTCACTGGTGCCACGGTTCGCGTGCCTGGGGCTTCCTTGGGCTCTGTAACTTGCAGCAGCTTTGATCTCCCTGACTCGTTTGCAGGCAGCAGCACTGCAGCTCTGGCGTGAGCATTGGCTGCTGTGAATCTGTGGGCAGCACAGAGCAGCTCCGTGCTCTGGCCGTGCTCAGGCACCCCCAAACCACCCCAGCACCCTACCTGAGGACGGGTCGGGTCTGTCCCCCCACGCTGTGGTCACAGTGGTGGGCTCTCACGTCTGCGTCGTGTGTCTCACTGAACTCCAACACGACTTCTGAGTCCTGCTGCTGTGAAGTGGGCTGTGTTTCACCTGCGTGGGTCTCAGAAGTCAGGGCAAAACTAAATACACGGTGACAGTTTCTATTGGAAACTGTGCTGGATGTTTTGGGGAGTACAACACGGGTTTTACTGCCATGGCTTGTTTCAGAGGACTGTCTCTTGTATGACTGAATCACTGACTAGGTGTCTGCGTTTTTCCTGGAGGTTAAAAAAATGAAGAGGTGAGGAAGGGCAGCTGTAAAACAAGCAGGGAACAATTTTGTTTTTTTTTTAAAAAAAGCAAGCACAAACCAAGTAAATCCTTCTTTCTTAGCTGTTAACACTTCCTAGCTCCAGACCATACAGGCTCATCCTCCTTTGCTTTTGTTTTTAAAATGGTTTAATTTTGTAACCATGTGGGCATCGTGCACAGGCATGCTGTAGTGCACACACACAGGCAAAAAAAAACATGAACCCCTTGCTTCTCTTCCCCATGGGTGGCATGAGGTTGGGGTTTTGCCAGTATTCTTTCAGTACAAAAAAATAAGGAATCACTGTACCAGCTAAAATGAAAGTAAATACACGTAGAGGAAAAGGTCTTTGGGCTTTAAGAAAAAAGTAATTATAATAAAAAAAATTAATGGCCTCTCTGGAGATGAGTGGAAAACTTCAGCTTTGCATCTGGAGGAGCAGGATGGCCAGGTGGAAATCAGGAAGGGAGGAAGGCACGCTTCGGTGCACAGGACTGCTGCCAGAAAGGGACCATGCAGCTGAGGCAGACAGCACCTACAGGAAAAAAAACTTCACGCAGGACTTCCAGTGTTCACTTATTGTGAGAAGTGAGTGTGTGCCAGGCACTGCAGGTTTTCTTTCTGCAGGGTTGGTGAATTCTGTGCAAAAGCCACATATCTGACCGCATTTTTTTAACCTATTCTATGAAATCCTCCTACAACCTGGCCCCACTAAGCCATACAGCTGAATTTCTAACATACCTGACCACGTGTGACCCTATTACTGGTTACAGATGGACTTCTCCAGCCTGTCCTCCAGTAGCTGCAACATCAAATGTTTTGTCTTAACATTTGCCTTTGCATTTGTGAGATGTTTCACTCGCTGTTTCGGTATGGATTGAGTTTGAGGCCAAATGATCAGCGAAGTGCATGGATGTGGAGGAACTTCTGCACCCCCTGTGAGGACAGAAATCTCCTCCTGTAGAGCTGGGTTAAGAGGTTCACGTCTGCATCCAGGTGCTGTAGGACCGAGAGCTCTTCAGACCCAGGGCTTTGAAGCCCACCTGTTTCACTCAGAGTGGGAAAATGGCTCTGACTCCTCCGTACGCCTCTGTACTTACAGCTTGGCTTTGGCTGTGACAACTACCGCTGCAGTAAAGTCAGGCCTGCTGCCTTCCTGCCACTAAAGGGGGGAAAATAAGCAAAGAGGAGGACATGAAAAGCAGCTGTTGGGTCACTGAATTATTATTATTACAACCTGCTATCGTTGCCTATGAGACTTGTGCTCGTACGTATACCTGGTGACTTTTCAGCAGGTGACTTTCAAGGCATGGATCACCCCCATGCTGTACAAACGTGTAGACAGGCTGAACTGCTGTGGAAGTATGAAGGGATCAGCAGAGAGCTATCTCCTGCCTGAACGTCGTAGCACTGTAGTAAATTGACTTCAAAGTGACGTGCCACTAAAATCAGAGAATGCTCTGATCATATTCTGTGCAGTCCAGAATAATCTGAAACTTAGTACCTAATGAGTGGCACCTGTGCACGTTCATAGGTTAGACAGTATGATTCTGTGCAGAATAAAAGCAAACAGCACTTTTCAAATGGCTACATAGCAAATACCCCCCAAATTCACCACACTGAGGTTTTTTATACTTCAAATATGTTTGCAGTCTCCTTTCCCTACAGCCTATTGGATTTGAAAACTAAGCAAACAAAATAGAAGGCAGTGCTGCACTCTGAAACAGATCCAGATTTGTTGCTTACATGCTTTTTAATATCTCGCACAGATTTTCAGCAGTTCTTTAAATAGTGCCTGTCATAAGGCACAAAATAATCCCGCTTTAATCGCTAATTTAAGCGAGCTTGGTATGCGGCTCCGCTCTCTGATATCCTAGGTTCACTGCAGTTCCCTCAGGTACGCGTGGATTTTGGGACTGCACCTCCCAAGTTGTCCCTGCCCAGGCTGCCTCCGCTCGCCCTGAGGTACCACCACAGCCCGGCTGCGTTGCAGCACAGCTTTTTGGCAAGCCGGGAGCTTTCGCTGCCTCTCGCTCGCCCACCAGCCGCAGGCAGAAGCGGTGTTGCACGGCACTGTTATGAGGTCGCTTTCAATGCCTCCAGAACAGGAGAAACGCAGTGTTAGAGTTGGCGGCGTGTCCTCCGAACGGCGTGAGCAGCCTGGGTTCCCCAGGAAGGCACCGCTGGCTTGTGGTGACCAACAGCGTTCGCTCCCCGGTAGTGCACGTCAGGAGGACGCCTCGCTGTGATTCGGCACTCGTGCAGGCTCCCGGGCTTCTCGGCAGCTCCGTTTCCCTCCCTACCTCTTAATCTGCAGGGAACTTGGCTGCTCCTTTCACTCCGGATTCATTACGGAGGCTGTGCATCTACTGTACCAAAACACTGCTGTCGGTGAAATAGTTAACCGGGGAAAAAAACGCAGCAGTGATCTTATGAGCTACTTGTTTGTGAGCTTAATTAGCGGGAAGGGTGCCGTGAATGTTAAGTGCTGTCCCTCCCGATAAGTCGCCAATACTTGGTGCTGCTGCTGCCCAGCTGGCTTTTTGTTCGGTGAGCCTGTGTGTGTGCACATCAATCTGGGGGAAACGCACTGATTTCTCTCCAGATTACACATCTTTCGAGCGTCTCGTTAAAAATACGCAGGATTAATAATTACGCAGCCCTAAAGAACACATTTTTCACCAAGGGCATCGTGACGTCCTCACCACAAAAAAAAAAAAAAGCAAAAAAAAAAAAAAAAAAGCTGCTTTAGTGCTTTAGTGTCAGCCTTCAGCAATGAGCTCATTCGGGGAAGACAATATGCTTTAAATGCAACAGCAACTCCAACTCCGGGCAGCGATTTTATTTCGTAACTGCTCGTTACAGATATTGGGCTGAGCACGGTGCAGCATCGCTCTCCCTCGCAGCCAAGGACTCCGTGCCACGGCCGGGCAGAATCAGCCCCTGGGTGCAGAACCAGGGCTATCCGAGCACCGAGACCTTTCCATCCGAGCTGCTCGGCTGCGTTTCTAATGCTGGAAAAAAGCTGGCTTTGAACTTGAGAGCGTGTTTTTTTTGGCACTTGGCGAGGGGTGCTGCTGGAGGGAAGGCTGGGGCACGCTGCTCGAGCCCCGCCAGGCTTCGCCCCACAAGTACGGCGCTGCCAAGCTCCTCGTCCTCCACGCTCGACATTTCTCCTGCCGATCCCTTGGCGTTCAGCACGGGGTTTAGGATGCTCGCCTGCCACCTGATTTGGGGCTCGTAGTTTCTCACCCGGCGGCTGGCTTTCCACCTTGGTGGCAGCGCCCTCGACACGAGCAGCACCCACACTGAGGGGACAAACCCCCCGTTTCCCTCAGCCCAGACCTGTTACCCCTGGTTCGCGCACCTCACCACCAAATATCGCTTCCCTGGCGATATAACAACTGGCTGAGGACAGCTCTTATCAAACTTGCCCCTCGGCGACCCCCAGGCGCTGCTGTCCCCCCCGGTGCAGCGCCACAAGGTCAAGGGGGGCGCTCAGCCCCTGGGGCTCGGGGGGGGGGGCTCTGCCCTCAGCGGGGCCCAACCGGGCTGCCCCTTCCCTTCCCCATCATCATCCCCATCATCATCCTCATCCTCATCATCCCTTACCTTGAGCGTCCTCACCAGGGCGTGCGGTGCTGGGCGCTCCCTGGGCGCTGCATCGCTCTCCGGGCGCTGAGGGGAGCGGCGGCGGCGGCGGCCCCCGGCTCGGAGCCGGCCCCTCAGCGGCGGCCTGGGGAGCGCTGGCTGCAGGCAGCCGCCGCCGCCTCGCCTTCCCCCGGCGCCCTCATGGGCTGAGGAGCCCGTTTCGGGGAGAGGGAGGCTCGGGGAGGATGGAGGGGGGAGAAAGGGGGGGGCCGAGGGCCGCCTGCCCGCCGCCGGGAACTTGTTGAGCGGGACCCGCGCTGCGCGGGGAGGAGCCGGGGGCCGGGCCGGGGGCGGCCCCGAGCCGGGCTATGAGGGGAGGGGATGTAGTGGGGGGGGAGGCTTCCAGCCCGAGTGCTGCTCAAGAAGCGTTTTTTATCATTATTTTTATTATTTATTTATTATTTTTTTAACCGCCTCCTGAAACTTCCTCAGCCCGCTCGCCACCAGCCACCCACCAGCGATGCTGAGGGCCACACGTCCTGCGCTAGGGACTGCACAGAGCGGGACGAGCTGGACGGGCCCTGCCATAAAAACCACCCCACTGCCACCCGCTGAGGGTGCACCAAGCCTTGGCCGTGTCACCGCAGGGCGAGACGCCCGAGCTGGGTGCCCGGAGGGTCAGTGCATCGCCAGCCCCGGCACGGTGCAGCAGCAGCACTGCCTCCGCTCCTGGGCAGCTTTCTGGGGTGAAATAGCTGAAGCAAACCACGCAGATCGTTGCGCCAGCGAACACACACTGCTGCTGCTGCTGCCTGATTTGTGCCAGCTTTGCTGTCTTTACCCAGGGCTCTCTGCTGGTAGAGCCTGGCGCTGGGTGAAGAAATCCTCCCGGACCCGTTCGACATGTAAAGCATCAGTGTGGGAGCACGGAGATATTCACAGGCATCCCTGACGGTTGAGCCGCAGTTCAGCCGTGCAGGACTGGATCTGAGGAATGTTTCACAAAGCAGGCCGTCAGCAGAGGGCAGCTAAGTTGCTCTGCTTGCCTGCTACCTGTCCAGGTGCTCCCCTGGCCCGCCGCCCTCCATCCCTCATCTGTGCAGGCTCACCAGGACCAAGGGCACGCCGTCTGCATCACCTGCTGCTCGCCCCACGAGCCGTGCCACGAGGGCACGAGCTGCTGGCACGGCTAAGGTGGCAATTTGGGATCTCTCTGGGTATCTCAAAGGAGACGTTTTTCCAAAGAAATAGGTGGGAAGAACTTAAATATCAATTTGCTTGAAAGAACAACAAACACTATGCATTTAATTTTTATTTTTTTTGGTTTGTTTTCCAGTTCAGCAGCTCTGATTTGCTGTACCCCAGGACCTCTGTGTTGTTTTCTTATACTGAAATAAACTTGTTTATTTATACAGCCAGTATATAAGCAGGGGTAAAATGAAATGGTGCGGTGATCACCTTTTAGCTAGGTGTGCTAATTTGACAGGAGACATAGATCACCTGTAGTAGACGCAGTCACTTTTTCACAAGCTGAGCACGTGAACCACGCCAGCTGCGTCATGCGACGTGCAGACCGCGGCTGCTGGAAGGAATCACTCCCGCTGCATAACCTCAGCGACTTGCAAGGAAAAGCCCTCCGACAAAAGCAGCAGTTAAAAGAGCTGCTGCTCCAGTTAGTATTTTCTCCATCATCATAGTTAGAGAACCCTGTCCCAGGGCTGATTATTCTTGCACAGCATTATGCATATGCCCCATTTATAAGGCTAGGCAACTCTACAGTGCTTTCTGTAGATGTTATGAGAATTAGAAAGGTCTTTCCTGTTGCCCTTTGGATTCCTGCTTGTCCTGCATGTGTGTAAGCACTGTTGGTATAAAGTACTTGTAGCTTGTACACAGGGTTCAGTTACTCATGGTTTGTGAAAAATGACAGGATTCCTGATGATCGTGCTTCACATCACTGTAAGAGTGCAGAGAAGTAAATACACGGGGGAAATGGAGATGCTTCATCATCCCCCTTGCCAGTTTTTCAGCCTTTAAAAGATGCCGAGTGCAACTGCTGCAGGTCAAAATTATGCTGGAACAGGGAGAGAAAGCTCTGACCTCAACCTGGTAAGATGCAAAGAGAAAAAAAAAAAGACAATTTATGATTATTTCTAAAGTACAAATCCATTTTGTTCTAACGGGCTGTCCTATCTTGCCATATCGCCTTTTTTCTGGTGTTTGGCAGGCAAGAGGGGGTGGCTCTCAGGGCTGGTTCTCAGGACTGCAATTCTGGTGCGGTGCTTGCGTGGGGATTTCAGCACGGGCCCTTTTGGCTGCCAGCGTTTGGGACATATGTTTCCTGTGCTCGGTACAGCTGCGAGGGTTTTGGCTCCTGGGGAGCGTGAGGCTGCTCGCAGCGAGCGTCCCTTGCCTGGGAGAGCCGCGTGTGCTCTGAGCAGGTGTTTGCTATGATTACGCTCCGCCAGAACGTGCAGGTCCTGCAGTGCAGCGCTGAAATGTCGATTTCTGGAACAGTCTGCGAAGTTCTTGTCAGTCCTTGAGGAAGGGCGCTCCCATCCAGCTCAGGGAAAAGCAAGTGGCAGCCAGAGCTCTGCTTCTCTGCCAGGTGTGCCAGCTGACACCGGCAAGGAAGGGAAGATAACCCACACCAAAGCCGTTTTCCAAATCAGCGTGCAGGCTGGTATTTACACTTAGCCTGGTTTAAAATGTGTATCGTGCACTGGAACCCAGGCCCAGGTTGTATCGAAAGGGGAAAAGTCAAAGAAAATGCAAGGCCAAGTGCACGAGTGGCAGCAATGCTGGCCCTGGAGGAGTTGGGGGTATGGGGTCAGGGCACTGTGCGGCCTGGCACCATCACAGCAGGAACCCGTCCTCCAGGGCTTCCTTCTGCCACGTTGTCCTCCCAGACCTCTTCTTCCACATGGGACAACTGACATTTGGTGTCATGTCCTGTGACAAAAGGTGCTGCTCAGCTTCTGTCCCCGTGAGGCTGCGATGCCTCAAGCTGCCCAGAGGATTTATCTATCCTTCCAGTGGGATGGCTGCCGCTGGGAGGTGTGGGTTTTGTTGTCGTTTGTTTGTTTCTTTGTTTAAACCTGAATAATTTATGCCTACCACTTGTTGTAGGTTAAGTGACTTTCTTAGAGGCAGCTAATTTCAGTGCTAACAGTAAATACAGGAGCTCAGTCATGGGGAATACATAATCAGCTAGGACTGGTCTAATTTATCGCAGGACCTCGCTGCCTCCCTTTTAGCTGAAAGGAGAGTGAGATTTACTTGATCCGAGACAGTGAGGCATGCAAAATGGTGAGCCTTTTCAGTCCATAGTCACCTAGGACCGGCGCCATCATCCCACCCTTGCTGAAGGCCATTACTTTCCTATTGCTGAGTCTTTGTTCACATGAACGGGCCCGCTCCTTCCATGCCCGCGTGTGATAGCCGTGTCACTTTCCTTTTGGGATCTCTTATTTATTTATTTACTCCAACCTGCCAGGGGAAGAAAAATGGAGGAGCGTTAAGTATGCTGCTCTCCTCCAGCTGAGGTGAATGCAAACTCGGCTTGAATTTCAAGCAGGTCCTCCTGCCATCGCCCTCAGAGGCACTCCCAGCTTTGGGGGAGGACGCGGCCCGCTTGGCTGCCTGACGGAGGAGGGAGGGCTCGGAGGCACGCAGGGCAAAAACTGGCGAGCAATTGCACATCTGTGAACTTAGAAGAACATTTTGAAGATGAAGTGGATCTAAGATTATGTGTACAGCACCCCTAATACCCGTGTGCAGCTAAAATATGAAGCAGCTGATTAAGGGAACTGCATCTTATGGGTGCTCTGCTCGAAGAAGGGAAATGCTGAGTAACATCATTAGCTGTGATGATTATTTCTGTACTTCAGCAGTATGAATACGAGCAGGGTTTGGGCCTCTTAATTTCCCTTTCTACGCATCATTGGGAGAAAAATGCAACAACAAACCCTTGCAGCCAAAACTCTTCATTTCAAGTTCTGGTTGAACGTGGTCTCATTAGGAGGCCAAATTGCTGGAAATGTTAGGTCCTCCTTCTTCGTCTGAAGGGGAAGCTAATTGGGGTGGGAGGCTTCTTTTCATATTTTCACCCTGTCTAGTTGAGAAGTGTACAGGTGTTTTTGGGAAGGGAACCGACCTGATGATTGGAAATACTCATGGTGGTGGGTTTTTGGTTGGTTGGTTTGTAAGGACGGAGATCGTGGAACAGTCTCGTGTGGTGCGTACGAGTTGTTGAATCACCTCGCAATAAAGATGTTCTCACCAGATGCAGACTTCTGCACTGCTTAAATTATCATGCAGTCTGTACGGCTAGGAAATAAATGAGGGTCTGGGAGACCGTGATGTATGATACCCTAAATGGCTGCATTTTGTTCATATTTGAAAGGCAGTTTAGCTTGTCGTCATTACTGATGATTTGTGCTTTTATAGCCCTTCCTTTTGCATTTCAGAAATCCTTTGTGCCCATCTGAATAATAAATCACCGTGTTTGATTTCTTCAGTAAGAGCCAATGTGAAATTATATTCTTATTAAGATGTCTTGAGAAACTGTAAGTGTGGGGGAAATTGTCTACAGGAGTAGATGCCAAGTTGGCTAATATTTTGTTTTGCCTTGTTTATTTTATTATCTTTGCAGATCGCAGGGATGTATCTCCAGTTGCTTTGCGGCAAAGGGAGAAACACCCTGATTAAAAATAAAAAATAAAAAATCCGATCGTACTTTTGATTGCTTTCAAACAAATGGTTTCAGATTTAAGCACCTAATGAAATCTGGAACGAGCTTGAATTCTGCCTTAGAATTCAAGGTACTGACAAAAGAAAGGCAAATGTAACAAATAATGGGAATACTTTCATCTGCTTCATATTTGCTCTTTGGTGGAGCAATATATTATTTATACAACATTGATTTCATTAGAAGGAGGATTTGATGTAACTTTTCTGTCAAGCTGGAGAACTATTAAATGTTATAAGGTACTGTAAAATCCCAAGCCTTCAGTAAGGTTTTCTTGATTCAAATTTGCAATAGTTCAATATTGCAATAAAGCATAAAAATACAGGCTTTTACGTGCTTTTACATATTCCTTTAAAGGTAGAAGCCCACATAGCAGTTCGGTGCTAATGCATACTACTTAGCAGAAAAAACAAGCTACAATAAAATGTATGAAAAATGAAAATCATACAAAATTAGGTAGGAGAAGTAAAAGTGAAGAGTGCAAATAGTCGAAAGTAAATTGAACACAGCATTTCTGGCGGTTCCGTGAGTCTAAAACAAAATTAAATATTT